CCCAAAATGTCTGCGCGCAACAAGATTTGGCATTGAAGTACCACTTCTTCAGGTCCAATATCGGGGAGTCGAGGGCATCGTGGCTAAGTATATCCGACTCGGAACAACGGCCACATTTTCACTAAGGGTCTTCCGGCTCCACAGTTTGCTGTCATTCGGAAGCTCCTCATGGGATGGTAATTTACCTCAGCACTTGCTGGGACTCTCTCCTATCGTTTCTTGCTCCAGCTTCATTTCAGCTGTAAGGGAGTGCACGGATACAGCTTACAATTCAGCTTTACAGCTTTACAATTAGCAGTTTATTCTAGAAAATAATCAATAACTGCTCACTTATTTGGAAATACAAACTTTACATCTCTTAGATCGTTAGATTAAACAATCCACAATGGTATTGTCGCATGGACCCACCATCAACAACAATCTAATTGCCAACAAGGTTATTGGCGATGGGTTTGCTGCTGTCATGAAACTCCACAACGAGCTCGTCTTTACTACCATCAAGCCATTTGCCAATGTCCCCGCCGAAGAGCATGCCAAAATGCACTCTAATGGTGCGGAGGGTGCCAACAACCCCCATTCCTTCACTTTCCATCCTGTTCATCGGGTCCCCGGGAATCAGTCATCAGACATTGTGGCAATGTTTGCTGTTGCAACTGCTTGGTAAGTACATGGACATGTTTCACGCTTGTCGTGACGGAAGGATGGCGCTCACACTTGCTGTGCACTCCCAGGGACTTCTCCATGCAGAATCTTCTCCCGGACAATGTCAAGGGAATGTATTGTGTGCTGCAAAACACATGCAACCAAACTGTAACGTATCGAATTGATGGAGGCAATGCTACGTACCTGGGCGATGGTGAACTCCAGCCCTCGGAATTCGATGACATGGCTGTCTTTGTGGATTTGAACTTACAAACCCACCCTGATGCTCGAAGCACTCCTGGTCATTGTATGTATTCCATGAAGATCTACCCGAGCAAAGCCTTTGAGAGCGACTACAAAACCAACACGCCAGCGATTTATTCTGGTGTGGTTGCGGGAACCTTTGCCTTGATTGCTATCGCGCTCCTCCTTTATGATAGGACGGTGACGCAGAGAAATGAAAAGATGATTTTCCAGGCAGCCAAGACAAATGCAATTCTTGCGAAGTTTGTTCCTGATCATCTTCGTGGCAAAATCATGGGCTTTGATGATGGAAGCATTGGAGGTGGACGGCGTGGGCCCGAAGAGTTCAACCTTGGCTTGATGGACACTAGCAAAGTTGATGAGATGGCCAAAAGTATGGTGAGGAGCATGTCGGATAGCAGAATGTCTTCGAGCGGTGTTGTGAATCACACGAGAAGGCGGGATCTGGATGTGTAGAGCTCGAAGGAGACTGGATATACTGAAGAAGAGTTGTTGGCCTGGAAGGCCCGAAGATGCGTGCCCATTGCGCACAGTATTTACAGAGGAGTAGCATTTACATAATACATATATATATACATGTAGTTGAATATCATTACAAATCAGGATTGTGCTCTATCATGTGCTGAGGTCTTCACAGTCTTATGCAGCGGAAGGCGGAAGATGCATCAATCTTGCTGTGGTAAGTGAAATGGACAGCCAGTTCCGAAGTCGATCGATCCCAATTGATGCATCGGTCACCAGTGGCCATCACCACAAGAAACGAATCTTGGTTGCGGCACCTGCATTTTTTCTACCGGCGAACAAAGTCAAGTATCTGCGAGTGCTATTGCTGCGCCAAAAGCCATGCAAGCAGGGTGCTGCCTGGCCGGAAGCAACGATTTGCGCTGGAGAGGATATACCGATAGCTACGCAGCAGTCGCTCCAGTCCAACGTGACTTTTCCAAGACCACTGCAGCGAACAAAAGTATCAGAAGCAACGGCAGCCAAACGCATTATTTGCGTATCGTTCGGAGACAGACGCTGGATGAGATCTGACGATCGACTAAAATGGCTTTGCTTATTGTGCTGCAGTCCTGGAGCGGAAACTTTTGCGGATGTTGCAAGCTTCTTTGGAGAGCCAGTGCTCCAATCCCCGCTCCAATCAATTGCGCGTGGACGCGTGTGCACGACACTGGCAGTCACTGTTGTTGCAAAGTATGATATGGTGTGGTTGGTGGGATGCTGCAAGAGCATTTTTCCACAAGCAAGGCTGGCTGATGACAAGGATTTGACTTTGCTCTCAAAGGCATGCAGATGCACCGATCGAGCAACAGCAGATTCCTAGCTAGCGCCAAGACTTCTTCATTGATTGTAAATGTCCTTGAACGCTGGACGAATGATGATTTGCTGGCATGGTCAACAGCAACCCCGATTTGTCCGTCTCGCTTATTGCTCCAGAGGACGACCATCGCAAGACTATAGCTAGATAGATCTTCAAGTACCAGGGAGTACGCTGGAATGCTCCATGCTCCAATCCCTGCTCCACTTGACGCGCGAATCGAATCCATCCAACTCAACATCGTACACGGCTACCGTGGCGGTAGATCTAGCCAGCGATAGCGTGGTGATGAAGGCATTGCTTTTGGCCCTTGTCACCGCGTCAAGGCAAACAAAAAGACAATGCTGCGGCCGATCTGTTCGTCCATCAATTCGATCGCGTTGAATTCAATCGATTGCAAAGTCGAATAGATTGCAAGTCGAATAGATTGATTGGCAGGGTGACACGATGACACGATCGAGACCGTCATTCGTCACAAAAGACGCAACCAAGAACCACAGCCACCATCAGAAATCAGAACAGTACTGTACCAGTACCCATCCAATCCACAACACTCTTCTCTGTGCCCCCCACTGAAAATCTCAAGATCTCAATAACAGCAACCCACCAAGAGACTTTTACAAGATGGCCATTGACGTTGTGGGAAGCAGCAGCCAAGAGATGACGAACACTACTACTACTACTACAAGCAATACCGATAAACCCCGTCTCCTTCACGATTCTCTGCATGCCATTCCGCAAGGCATTCGATTTCCCTTGGCGGGTGCGATTGGCAACGTTCTGTTCCTGACGGGTTTTAATGCCTGTGTGACCGCCTTTGAATCCACTCCATCGGTGACGGCCTCGCACATTTACGCCGGCTTTTTCTGTTGTTTTATACCGGTCTCTCACGCCCTGACGTGTTTGCTCGTGTTTGGATGGCCCACGGGGCATTACGTCTCATCGCTGGCCGCCAATGCACCCATTGGATTGACCGCCATGGCACTGGGAACCGTCGCCACGGGCTACTTTGATTCCATTCACTTGGAACACAAAATTGATCAGTTTCTGTTGGAAAATGGGATTGTGTCGCAACCGGAACCCGACGAAGAACGCAGTGAATTCTATTCCAGTCTCGTCGTCATGGTAATCACGGGGATTTGGAGTTTTGTGCTGTCAGTTTACGTCAACAGTTCTAGTAGTACAACAACAGCAACCAAAGATGACAAGAAGGAGTTGTAAAACACAGAACGACTGCAAAATTTCGGCAAGGAAGGAAAGTGAGAGACTGTCGTTTTCGGCTCCGGAACAAGACTATTGAAAATGAACCTTTCGATCGTTTGCGGTCACACGCGACAATCTACAACCGGCTGTCTGTAAGCCCGACAGACAACAAACACTAGCTAGATGCACAACATATATACCATATAGAAAAAGGGACTTGGGACAGGTATTCGCTTGTCGAGTCTGGAGATTGGGCCCTGGCTGACAAATCTTTCGCTCCATTTGCCCAGCTAGCTAGCTGACTAACTCCAGACTACGGTAGTAGAGCTTGCATAGATTATAGATTGGCAGTCATAAGGTCTGTTTCGGACCAGTCCGTATCAAAACATATGGTGAATGCAGGGAAAACCGAGTAAGACTTCAGGTATGATGACTGAATCTATGATTCTTAGTTTCGCTACCGTTGTGCCTACTCTGGAAGCCAGCACTAGCGAATCATAGACTACGACGGTGGATACTAAATGGCCAACACCATGGTACCATAGAGTTGCTTTGGGCATCTCATGTAGCTCGCACCTCATTCTGCACGATGATCGCTAAGGCCGATCCTAGTCGTAAGCGAGACCGAGACACGAGACACATGGGAATGTGGGTCTCGTATGACACCGCGCCTAATGCTCCACCACACCGACACATGAAATTGCGCAAAACGTGGTACCCAAGTGGCACCCAACATCCAATCAGATTTAATAGACAGCAGTGTGACATCATCAATAAAGCGCGCTCTAAAACTGAACTCACTTTTTCATCTCATTCCCTCACTCCATCGAATTGGTGGTCTCCAGAGTGGAAAGCTGGTTGTGGATAATAGGATTTGTCTTTGTTTTAGATCCCAATCTGGTCATTGGCACCATGGCAGCGGACAAGTTACCTGACGCCCTCCTGCAGGAGGTGAGGAATGTCCTGGCCACAGAGTGCAGAGAGATGGTTATGTGTGAAAAAGCTACAGGAGAGAACGTTGCTGGACAACACAATATGATGTCGAAAGTTTTTCATGGATCTGCTGGGTACGCTTCTGTTGTGGACAAATTACTGGATGGCAAAGGGCCATATGCATCAGTATTCAACAAGCTCCCTATAGAGAACAACCGTGAAGGAAATGACGAACGTCCCAGTGGACACATGCTGGTAATGAAGGATATTGTCAGCTGCAACGAAGGTAAGAACAACTCGAACAGAGCTTATTTGGTGCTGTTTTTGTGTATTCAAGATAAATGACATTTGCATCTGTTCAATGTACTATTTAATAAGGCGCCAAGTATGTTGCCCAAGAAAGGGGTTTTAACAAAGAAGCTATTACAAAGAATGGCGAAAAGAAACTTGAAGGGCGTAACATCGGAGAACGTGCAATCACTTCTACTGCCAACTACAAGTTCGCTTTGAAATACTGTGACGAATATTGCCAGGATGGAAAGCTTCCCTCTGGAAAGTCGCTGGATGACATGGTTCTCTATGTTCGCCAAAAGATGTATGTTCACCTGAGAGGTGGGAAGAACAATCGTACAAGCAACCGAAGAGCAGCAGGCAGTGACAAGCCTGCAAAGGAATTCGTGGAAGAGGATATGCCGGCAAAGTACATGTTTAATGGCTACCTGGTGTTTCTTTTGTACGGTCCTTTGGGCTTGTGTGGTATCACCCTCAGCTGTCTTTCGAAAGATGGAAGTGATATTAAGAAGAAAGGTAGAGCAGCTGCAAGGACCAGGAAATGGAAGTGAAAGCTGCAGAGCGCACTGCCGATGATGGAGGCACTGGTATCTACCATCGAGGTGTTCCTGTCAAGGAAAAGCTTGCGTGTGCCACTTTGGCCATGAGCGAGCTGAAAGATGCACAAAGAAATGTGCGAGACTTGCTATTCCACAACAGTTCCTCTGAAGCGAATTGTCTGAATGCACTCACCCAAGTTGACAGCATGTTGGAAAGAGCAGAGACAAGAGGGGAGCGTCGTGACATGTCTTTGCAGGCTGTAAGACTTGAGGTAGCTTTAACAACCCACGAAGGTGCGTGCCGGTCGAAGCTCCAGCGAGCCCCGCTGACTGGACCTCTGTGGAAACGTCATTCGTGGCAAAATACTTAAGAGACGATACACCGAGGCATAGGAGACGATTGAAAGGATTTAAGAGACGAAAGCAATCGTCTCCTATATTTAGGAGACGATTCAGTAGGAGACATTCCAATTAGGAGACGATAGTTTCGAAATAGGAGACGATACTAATGATTTAGGAGACGAAACCATACAGTTTACATGGTACACTTAGGAGACGATCGGTTGAGAATAGGAGATGATCCGTTGTAAATAGGAGACGATTCAAGAGGAGACGAAAGATTTAAGAGACGATCCGTTTGGTCTCCTATTTTTAGGAGACGAAATCCATTAAATAGGAGACGATCAAAAGGATTTAGGAGACGATCGGTTGCACGACTCAAGTTTCCACAGAGGTCCTGAAGACGATAGCTACACCCCGAGATTCTACATACAGGTGCCTGGGTTCCGGGGACCATGATAGCATCGTTGCTGCTAATGCGGATTCTTGTAGGCCAATGGTGCCGGTGCCGGTACCACCGGTACGTACTAGGTAAGCTGCAGGTTCAGTTTGGTTGCGTCCAACAATCTTGTGAGTAAACGCCGCCAGAGATGCACATGAAAGCTCCCCGGAACGCTGTCGCTGAAGTACGTGTACCAGTGAACCCTACATTTCTCAAGAAAACTTCGAGATTTCAAAACTTCGGTTTGCTTTTGGAAGTATGATCTCATAAGATTTAAAGATAAGTGAAGCCCAATCAATCCTGTACGAACACGAAAGTAACGAGGATGGACCATGAGACTGAGGCCATTTCGTTCTTTGTCGCCACGGAACCCCGCACATTCCGACCCAATGAACCAGCCCGATTGGGATGGGAACGACACATCATTTACAAAAACCGGCGTTGGCCCAATCACTTGGGATACGGAGCTGCCATGATCTTTCTCAAACTCAGTGATGGAAGGATCGTTCTGACCAACGACCTTTGGGCCGGTGGGACGAGCGACTCGCAAAACTACATTGTCGCACAACTACCACCCAATGCGCTCATTGGTGTCATTCTTTCCGAGACGCGTATTTGTCAGCCCAAGACAAAGGCAGCGCTCCAGGGGCTCTTGGAACTGTTGAAACGCCCCCTTGATCCCATCATCCACGTGCACTCCGTCTGGCGGACCAAGACGGGTCTCACTGACGAGCAAGCTTGGGATCTTGCCGGTCCGGGTCCTCAGAGCACCAAAATCGTTGGCAAAAAGAAGGCGGGTAAAAACAAGCAGACTTTGCCACAGCTACCTCAAGTGACGAGACGAACCCATCAAGGCCAACACATGCAGTCGACTTTTTACTCTCCTGAGAATGCCATTCTGACACACATCAAGTTACCGGGTCGTAACATTCAACCCTTCCTGGGACCAGAGCAATTGCAAGGATTGGATCCATCGACGAGCCCAATATTCGTACTGTACCGTAGTGGTGACACTGATGACGGTCTGTTGGGTGGTACGAGAAGAGGATTGGGGCTTCAGAATGGCGACACCATAGACGAGACGTACGTGTACGAGCTGGAAGATTGGACTGGCCATCACAGTTGACGCTGTGAAATTTGCGCCTTTTACGTGTTTGGGTTGTATTGGCAATTACTAGCTAGTAGTAGAGTTCAAGAAGTAGCCAAGCTAGTCTAGCATTGCTTGATTATGCGATGATGTTCGTGTTGTTGTTTGTACATGGCCACCAGCTCCTTCAAAAATTTGGGATATAGACTGTCCATTTGGCGGTGCAGGCTAGAGTCTTTTGTCGACTCCCAAGCCTTTTTTGCTTTGGAGGTAGCATGTGGTGAATGGATGATAAATCCCTCTGGTAGAATGGCAAAAGAATACCCCATGATTCGTAGATGGGATATCAGCTCAATTTTGTTCTTGCCATAGCCATGAAATCGTTCATCATAGTACGGAGCTGCTACCTGTTGTACTGGCCCACCATTCATGATGGTGGTTGTAGTGCCCGGACACCAGCGCAATACCACATACGGTTCGTAGCGAACGGAATCAAAACAGTTCAAAGTCCGAATCAACGGAGTATTGTCGGTTGTCGTTGTTTTCGTGTCGTCGTACCAAGTGCCATTGAGCCAGTCTTTGGATCGCGTCGACGAGTGTCCATCCCAGTTGTTGTTGCTTTGAAAGACTCGACATTGTTTCTCCTCCAAAACACACTTGTGCAATTCTGTGAACGAACTCGGAAGTACCAATTTGGACAGGGATTCTTGGGTGTCTTTTGCACAATTGTTATTCTTGTCATTATCACACAACTCGGCAGGAGGTATTCGTTCAAAGGCAGGCACCACGAGGGCTTCTCGGTGCTCTTCCAGAGATGTTTGATTTTTATTGCGCCATGAATGTCGTCTTGCCTGTATCGTTTTGCGAATGAGTGTATCCAAGTCCACGGAAGGTACAAAGTCAATATCGGCTACAAGTACATGACTTGTTTGGACTTGATCCAGACCGAGATTCCGTAAGCGGTTGACCGGGTACAAGTCGTGGTCATTTTCATCCCCTTGCAACGCATGACGAATGATGACAAGCTGTGGACATGCTGCTTGTATGATTGCGGTTGTGGTTGAGGAGTCGTCTTCCAAAGAAGAAGGCACCGCCAATACCAATAAGATGGGACTCTTCCACCGTTGACACGTCTTTTCCAAGATCCAGAGGCGTTCCATTGTGGATTGCAACACGAGTGTGACGGCGAGCTCCTCCGTGGATGCGATAGTGGGGCAACTACTAGTCTGGTTGCGAAACAAGTGCATGTTGTGTATTGTGCGGACACCACTGGTAGAATTAATAATATCCAATGACGGATTGGTAGCTAGCCGTCTCTTGTCTGTTTCAACCACTGGATGATGATCGGATCTTTTTGGTTGTTGCTGATTGTCGGTTTTCTTCTTCTTAGTGTCTTTGCCATTGTTCTGTTGATTTCTATGTGGGTTGGACTGGTGTCTCATTATTTCTTCTTCAGGTTTGTCATTGGATTTTCCATGCTGATGGTGACTTGTGTCCTCCTCTTTCTTTGCGTGTCTGCTATTGGATTTCTGATGATTAGCTTCTTCTGATTGTTTGTCATTGTGTTTGTTGTTGTCATTTGGTTCTTCCCTTTCTTGTTGTGGTTGTTGTTGTTGTTGTTGTTGTTGTTCCAATTCCCGTAGTTTTTGTTCGACTACACCCTCCGCGTCATTGCGATGATACCATCCCGGTACAATGCGCTCGAGTAGGACATGTAACGGTGGTTGTTGTTGTGATGATTGTGATGATGATGACTGCAACTCGTGTTGCCGTTTGGCCAACCGCGTGGCCGACGCCCGTTCTTGTTCCACAGTTCGAATACTCGACAGAAGAGATTCATCATAGAGCAACCACGTCCCATGCAATCCTTTGCGGCGTCTCGGGAAAATGAGTTTGCTATAATCCACCACAGCGCTCCATAAGGGGCGCATTCCGTGATTGACCAGTAGGTAGGATAAGATACACAAGGACGTGGCTCGTCTCCATTTGGACGCACAAAAGAGTCGATACCACATCGTTCTTCGTTTGGTGCGTTTCTTGTCCTTGCCGGGATAGTAGTCGTATGTGCCTCCCAACAGAAAGGATGTCAGAGGATTACTGTGACTTGTAGTGTTAGTAGTGGCGGCTCGTTGTTGTGACCAAGAGGATCGTTGAAAGGTGCTGGGAAGTAACGTCGACGATGAAGCAGAGTCCAGTACTTCGGCTGTTGGCACCACTACTACTCGACGCCGATGGCCCGGGGAACTCATGTCTCCCATCGGTCAAAACAAAATCAAAGTGCCAATGCAATGTCTGTCGATCGCCAAGCTACATTACATGTCCCCCCTTCCAAACACTTTTGTCATTCAGTTTGCTGGATACAAAACCGTGGTCTGAAAAGGATAGAGAGATCAATAATATATCCAAAGGACTTAGACTAGTATACGATCGGCAGAGATAAAAAGCACTCCTCCTCGGAATCACAACTATCAATGCTTGGTGTTGCCCGTTGCCGCGTGACCATGGGATTTTTTTGGCATGTCGGCCTTCATTCGATTGATAATTCGATGGATCACGATCCTTCGAATCGAATCGATTCGAATCGAATTAAATTAGTTAGGTTCGGGGTTTGCCTTTCACTCAAGGCAAAGCATGTCATTTGGTGTGTGGCCACAGGAGCAAACACAAGGTGGCACATCCATGTAGAAGCTAGCCAGCTAGTCATACTCGACTGGTAACACCCCCACACCCATCGGAAACACACCAACCCCCTACTGGTAACAGTGATCGGATCTCGGGTAACTGACACCCAACTGCCGCCAACTCCCTGGGAGAAACCTGGAATGCTGGATAGACGCCATAATGTATATGTTATTGCGGGAGACCTGTTGCTAATCTTGGTACTTAGGCCGAAATGCGTCTATAGCTAAATTTATTCCTTACTTATGCACTTTCTGCAGTACGG